AAGAATATGTCAAACCATGGTAATTACATCCAAAAGAATATGTCAAACTATGACAACTACGCCCAAAAGAATATGCCCAAACCATTATCTCGTAGCAGAATAAGGAAAGTATTAACATTAACAATATCTCGAAATGAAACTCCTAGTCTAGTACATAAAAAGACAATTCTAGACATTCCCCTCCGGATCCACATGCCCATCCACTTGAGCTCTCCAAAGTACCTGCTCGTCCACTCCGAGCTCTTCCACTAAAGTAAAATCTAAAAATAATATTGTTTGTAGGGGGTGAGCACTAAGCTTTATAGGAAAATCCTCCCAAACTTGGACAATGTTTTGAAAACATAAAAAATAAGTCGGTCTCATTTCACAAATATCATATATAACTTTTGAAAGAAAACAGTGAAATTCGATCTCAAGTTTACGCAAACTCGATATATAAAATGAAGAAGTAAAACCAATTCCAACAATAAGTCATTTCCACAACAATAACTAATAACCCACAACTTGTACCATTACCCACAATGTATATCAAGCCAAGACTTGTATCTGTCACAACATTATGTATATGTATCTGTACTTGTATCTCAGGTATGATGTATAACATCGCATGAATAAACATATCGAGAATATCTTGGCCCACACACACACACCCAATCCTCGCAAGGATATCTAACTTTAGGAAGGGTGTATACCAACGCATTGGCAGGGACGATCCAACCCAGGAATAGTATACTAACCCTCAGCCTCGGTACCACGTGAGCGAATAGTGGTTTGATCCTCGCAAGAAATCAATCCCACTACGAGTGGTAGGAAAAATTCAGACCCGCACAGAGTAAGAAACGCATCTACCCACTCTACGATACCCAGTCAACGACCACCCATAGTCATCCAAACATCCACAAGAGATACAATACCCAACCAATTTCCTCAAATCACAAGCAATTCCAAAAATTCCCAAATTCCACATGTATTATTCCAATAGAACAATTTAATTAAATATGCAAGAGATCATTAAAAATACCATTTTATTGTTCAATACAAAGTACTAGATTTTTTAAATCAAGAAAAAAGGAAAATTTAAGAAAAAAATCTATTTCTCTTGAAAAACTAGGTTTTGATTCAAAACAAGAGTTTTAATGGCTTTCATCCCAAAACTTCACTCAAAACATGAAAAGGATTGCAAGAACATAAAGAAACAAGGATATCATAAAATATATCTAAGATTTTTGAAGCAAAACATACATATATATAAACCCTAGCCTCAATGGACAAGAGTGGAAAAAAAACCCCTACCTTTCTTTTTCCTTGGTGTTCTTGAAAAATTAGAAACTTTGATCCACTTCAATGTACAAATCCCTCTTGATCTTGTATTTGTCCCCAATTTCTTCCTCTCTAAGCCTCTCTAGGGTTATAAATATTGAAATGGGGCTATTGGAGGCGCCCTTATGTATTTATAGGGGAAGAAAAGAATTCAAACGACGTAAATCTAATACTCTAATTCATCGCTCACGTTTGAACGTCATTGGCGTTCGAATGTTAGTTACTCCCAGTACTTTTTTTTCCCATCAGAGATAGAGTACTGGAATGAACCATCATTCGAACATACTTTCACGTTTGAACGGTTGGCGTTCGAACGGACTTTCACGTTCGAACGTAGGTCGTTCGAACGGACTTCCTGTTGCTGCTGAAATATTCAGTGAAGTTTTTGCCTATTTACAAGTTGATTTGGAAAATTTTGGTGAAATACACTTTTGTAGCCCTGGAAGTCTACTATCTACTGTAAAAATTTTAAATCAAATAGACATCAAGGTAAACCATTATGGTTCAAATACTAGGAAGTGTCCAAAATCCTTTCTACCCAAATTCTCTCTAACTGTGTGCTTTCACTTCGGAATACTTCTAAACTTCTACAACATATCCTATTACCTCAACTAAAATTTTAATTTCTACTCTTAAAATCTACATAGTTTATGCATGCATCATTACATATTTTAGCATTTCAAAAGTAATTACGTTGTTATATAGAGAGAAAAATGTGGGGGTTTACATAATTGGGTGAAATTACATGTTACTTTAGTGTTGATTTGATAAATTAAATATTTTTTAAATAGTTTTGGATGTTAATTTGATAAATTGAGTGTTAATTGTACGAATTTGAATATGAAATAAATGAATTCCATGTTAATTTGGTGTTAATTCGATTAATTTAACGTTAACTTGTTGAATTTGATTGTTAATTTATTGAATTAAATGTTTATTAGATAAAATTGAATGTGAATTCAGTGTTAATTTGATGAACTGAAGATTAAAGAGATGAAATTGTATTTTACTTTGGTGTTAATTTGATAAATTGAATCTTTATTGTTTAATTTAGAAAGTTAATTCAATGAATTGAGTATTAATTGAATGAATTTAAAGGTTAATTTGAAATGTAACTAGTTGAATTATGAATTATAATTCAAGTAAATTAAAATTATATTTTGCTACTATTTAAATTTGACTTCATTATAATTTGAGCGGAAAAAAGAATCTCATTTAAATTTTATGCCAAATTTTGATACATAAAAAAAATTTAATAACATTGGGTTTTTGGTTTTGGGTTCTTGAATTCCATTTTGGGTCGATTTTTGTTAATAAGATTGTTTCTTTGGGTTTTTTAAATTTCGAAACTTGATTGCCATAGGATCGCTGACAAAATCGGTCCTGATTAAATTGTAGTCTTGATCCCAGCTAAGATCGGTAGTTGATCGGTCATGATTTGATCCCAAGATCAGTGTAATTGATCGCTAGTGTTTATCACTCAGGATCGGTTTTGATTAGATCTGTAGTCTTGATTGGTGAAGAAGGGTGGATTGGTCCTAATTAGATCGGTACTCTTGATTGCTAAAGAAGGGTGGATCGGTCCTGATTAAATCGGTACTCTTGATCGCTAAAAAAGGTGGATCGGTCCTGAAAAGTGGTAACCTTACCAAAAAAAAAATGGTAATCATACCTATAAAAATTTGGTAATCTTACCTAAAAAAATTGTAACCTTCCCCAAAAACATAGTAACCTTGCTCCCCCTCACTTAACCAAACAAGTGGTAATCCTAACTATAAAAGTGGTAATATTACCCAAACTAATTGTAACCTTACCCAAAAAAAATGATATTCTTACCTAAAAAAAAAGTGTATTCTTACCCAATCAATAGTAATTTCACCTCCAAAAGTGTTAATTATACCATAAGATGGTCATTTATCTGAAAAAGTGTTAATTATACCCAAATAGTTGTGTTCTTATCCAATCAGTGGTTGCGTTAGGGCAAACATTAGTAACCTAGCGGTAATTTTATTAAAAACGTGGAAACTTGCTCCCAAAAAGTGGTATTATTACCCAAGAGTTGCAATCTATTATCAATAGCTTAGCCAAATAATTGTTAACCTTAGCTATGAAGAGTGGCAATCTTATTCAATAAAGTGGTATTTTTATAAAATAAAAATGATAATATTACACCAAAAAAATTGTATTCTTACACCCCCAAAAAGTTGTATTCTAAACCAAAAAAGTTGTAGTCTAATCCAAAAAATGGTAATTTTAACAAAAAAAAAGTGGTATTCTTACCTCAATGGTGGTAATCTTTCCCTCAAAAAGTGACACTCTTTTATAAAAATTGGTAATCTTTCCCAAAAAAAGTGATAACCTTGTCTCAAAAAATTGGCAGTCTTACAAAAAAAGTGGTATTCTTACCAAATAAAAGTGATAATGTTACACCCAAAAAATTATATTCTTACACCCAAAAAATTTGTATTCTAACAAAAAATGTGGTAAAGTTAACCAAAAAAAGTGGTACTTTTATGTCAAGGTAAGTGGTAATCTTGCCGTCAATAAGAAGTGGTAATCTTCCCTAAAAAATGGTTATCATACCAAAAAAATGGTAATAATCTTGCCTCAAAAAGTGGTAATGTTGCCAAAAAAAGTAGTATTCTTACCAAATAAAAGTGATAATGTTACACTCAAAAAGTTGTATTCTTACACCTGTATTCTAACCCAAAAAAGTAGTAATGTTAACCTAAAAAGTGGTGCTCTTACCTCAACAATGATAATATTGCCCTCAAAAAGTGGTAATCTTCCTTAACAAATGGTAATCTTACCCAAAAAGTGGTACTCTTACCCAAACAAAAGTGATAATCTATCTTAAAAAAAGTGCTAATCTTATAAAAAAAGTGGTAACCTTGCATACAATTAGTATTCTTATTAACCAAATCCCAATTACCCAGAACACGACTGGAACCCTTACTCTTCTTTGGTTCATAGTATCCACATGATAATCTTATTCTAAAAAGTTTTAAGTGTATTTTTTTATTAAATATAAGATTTCTATAATCTCAACCTACTAATTAATTTATAATCTCTTGAATGGTTCATTGGGCTAAAAAAAATCTGCAACTCCATCTTCTTCTTTCTCCTTCTTCTTCGTCCTTGTCTGAATTTTTTTTTTTAACGAATTTGTCAAGACACAAACCTATTGAGTGGGTAATCGGAAAAATGTAAAATAGTATTTTAAATTTCATCTACGGTTGTAACTCTTTGATTATGGATCAATGGTGGATGTTCATTTTTCGGTACCATATTGAAAAGGTAAAAATTGGTACCACAAAAAGACTATAAATTGAGAGGTCACTTGGGTATAAAAATTTCACTTGTGCATGCTCCTGTATCTCCTTCCAAGCCTTGTTCACATGGCAACAGTATGTAAGTGTTGGTCCAACTAGCAAGCCTTATCACATACATTCCCCCAACCACATCATGTGTCCTGTTCAGTCTCGCTGTTGAATTAATCGATTCCAAAAACCTTATCTTGAATTCATTTGCATCTTCTTCACCTAAAAGCTTCTAATTAGCATTTCCCAGCATTAATGGCGAAACACAAACCATTGCAAAATTTCTAGGAACCACGACCTTGAACCTCTTGTCCATGGCTATGAGCCGTTCAAAATGTTTAGCCATTTTTACATGACCCCTTATGAAGTTTTGAGGTTTGATGCTCCATAGCTTCTGAGCACAAGCCATAGTTTCATTGCTCGGAATCTTCTGCTCAATGCTATTTGCCAGTCTTTGTAGTCCACCACTTGTTTTGAATCAGAAGCCTTGTTCTTCAAATACTCCGGATCATTTGAGAGAGGTTTGATTAGGGCACTTGGTTCCTTTCCCCAAAGACAACAACAATCCAAAGTGGTGAAGAACCATTTATGTGCATTGAGGCTAAATGAGTTAGCACACTCAATACCACGAAGAAAATGGTGATAACTCTGGGCAAATAAATGCACTTCCTGCATATGCAGCATCAATATGAACCCATATATTATAATCTCTTGCTACATCACATAATGGCCCCAATGGATCAACTACATTGGATGAAGTAGTCCCTATAGTGGCACAAAAAAACAATGGAATTAGTCCAAATTTGATATCTGATTGAATTGCTGAACTTAGTGAATCGGGAGATAGCCCAAATGAACAACAATGACAATAACACTTGTGTGCAGGACAAATAAATTGATTGTCACAACAAACTCACATTTATCATGGGTATTGTCATTGTTGTTTATTTGTGTTATCTCCCGATTCACTAAGGTCAGCAATTCAATAAGATATCAAATCTGGGCTAATTCCTTTGTTTTTCTGTGCCACTATAGGGACTACTTCATCCAATGCAGTTGATCCATTGGGGTCATTATGTGATGTAGCAAGAGATTATAATATGTGGGTTCATATTGATGTTGCATATGTAGGAAGTGCATTTATTTGCCTAGATTTATCGTCATTTTCTTCGTGGTATTGAGGGTGCTAACTCATTTAGCCTCAATGCACATAAATGGTTCTTCACCATTTTGGATTGTTGTTGTCTTTGGGGAAAGGAACCAAGTGCCCTAATCAAACCTCTCTCAAATGATCCGGAGTATTTGAAGAACAAGGCTTCTGATTCAAAACAATTGGTGGACTACAAAGACTGGCAAATAGCATTGAGTAGAAGATTACGAGCAATGAAGCTATGGCTTGTACTCAGAAGCAATGGAGCATCAAACCTCAGAAAATTCATAAGGGGTCATGTAAAAATGGCTAAACATTTTGAACGGCTCATAGCCATGGACAAGAGGCTCGAGGTTGTGGTTCCTAGAAATTTTGCAATGGTTTGTGTTTCGCCATTAACGCTGGGGAATGCTAATCAGAAGCTTTGAGGTGAAGAAGATGCAAATGAATTTAACAGAAGGCTATTGGAATCGATTAATTCAACAAGGAGACTGAACATGACACATGTTGTGGTTGGGGGAATGTATGTGATAAGGCTTGCTAGTTGGAGCAACACTTACAGACTATTGCCATGTGAACAAGGCTTGGAAGGAGATACAAGAGCATGCACAAGTGAACTTTTTATACCCAAGTGAACTCTCAATTTATATGTCCTGCACATCGGTGATGACGGGAGGAGAAGTCACCTGAAAGTTAATTCAATGAATTTAGTGGTAATTGAATTTTTCTTTTTTTTAGAACCTCGACGACACGAGGGAGTTTTATTGATTTCAAATAAAATTTAGTTACATGGAATAATGAAATAAATAAAAAAAGCAAAATATGCATGCTTAGTACAAAAAATATTTGTCACAAGCATGCTCCCTTCTTAACTAAATGATGTAGGAACTCAGCTAGCTATAACTGTCAAAGCAGTCTAGTTGAATTGGAGACCTTTGAAACAAATGAGGTAATTCCAGCTGAATTGGAGACCTTTGAGACAAATTCCACGAAACCAATCTAGTTGCAGTTCTAGATGAATAGTAACGTGAACAATGAGATAGTTGCTGCCTTTTCACAAAATGGACTCCTAGCAGTAGTCAAACAAACAGTTTTTTGCATGTTGAGCTAGAGATGATCTCTTTGAATAAAATCTTCCCAACGTTGGACAAATCACATGCAATCATTTGCATGTGATCACACATTAAAAAGACAAGATTTGGTGGGCAGTATATCATGATCATTCTGCTATTAATCCCTGAAAATCCTCCCATAAACTGGTAAAGATTGACTAAATGATCTCCATGAAATCCCTGGAACCCTTAATGTTTGAAAGATCTCCATGAAATCCATGAAAATTAGCTCCCTTAATGCCTAAATCCATATCTATTGTTTTGCTTTGGAATTTTCAACGCTATCATGGATTTAGATTTGGACCTAGTGATTCTTGGCGAATCATTCCTAATTGGAACATTATGCAATGTCAATGTTAAGGCAGGTAGGTCCTCTTCTTTCTATTTCCTTTTCTTCTCAACATTTGTGAGCCTTCTTAGCAATTCTTGGATGTAACTAGTTGAATTCGAATGTTAATCTAATGAATTAAATGTTTATTAGAAAAAAATAAATGTTAATTAGATGAAATTGAATGTTAATTTGGTGTTAATCTGATGAATTGAATATTAATTTGATGAATTTAAATGTTAATTCGATAAATTAAATTTTAATTGGATGAAATTGCATGTTGTTTTAGTATTGATTTGATAAAATGAATATTTATTAAATAATTTTGGACGTTAATTTGATTAATTGAGTGTTGATTGGATAAATTTGAATATAAATTAGATGAATTGAATGTTAATTTGACATTAATTTAATGTTAACTAGTTAAATTTGAATGTTAACTTAATGAATTAAATGCTTTTTAGATAAAATTGAATGAAAATTGAATGTTAACTTTGTGTTAAATTGATGAATTGAATATTAATTAGAAGGCTCCTAAGACTTATCTATAAATTTTTCTTCCTCATGAGTTCATCACCGACACAACCTCATATTCCACCAAAACCCCTAGATTCATCCACCAACACAAAACAATCATTTGCATCTTTATTCAGGCCCCAAATCCAACAACCTTCTGAGGATCCACAGCCAGAGAAACTTGACAAACCCATAGTGTTCTATGAAGATGAACCATCGTTGTAGTTTACCAATGAAGAAATCCAGAAGTCTTGCCAATCCCTCCAATACTCTTTGATTGGTAAGTGTGCATATGGCAAACCCTCACTAGGAGTTATCAAGGAAGTAATAAGATCCAAATAGAGTTTAAAGGGAGATTTGAGGTTGGGTCAATTGATCAGAGGCATATACTCTTATGATTTCAGTTGCATGAAGATTACGTGAAGACGAGGCTTAAGGATGCTACACTAATAGAGGACTACCTCTTCAACTTTTTTAAGTGGTTCTCTAGTTTTGTACCAGGCATTGAGCCTTCAGTTGTTCCATTTGGATATCGTTTCCTGGATTACCATTGAACTTTTTCAAGAAACCATACCTGGTGTTACTGGTAAAACTTATAGGTAAGGTGTTGGCCTATGACCAGGCATCCCTCTCCTTGTCTCAACCTAGCATGGCTAGAGTTTGTGTGGAAGTCAACCTCTTAGCTAACAACCCAAGCAGAATTTGGATTGATATGGGGGATGAAGAAGCTAGGTGGCAACGAATAGTCGATGAATGCAGCAAGCAGTTTCTACAAAGAGTTGCAAGAAGCTGGGCCATGGCGAAGAACACTGCAGAAAAAGGAAAAGTGCCCTGGATTCGGATTAAAATCAAGGTAAGAATCAAGATCTTGGGGAAAATATTACAAGAAAGGCAATAGGAGAGAAAAATAAGGGGAAACAAACTCAGCAGAATCAGATCTCTAGGAAATCTCATAAGGAAACCTCTGATTCAAGGAAAGCTCAACCTCAATCAAAGCAACTAGATTTGATCCAGCCATCTAAAGGGATTTGGGTACAACAAACCAAGTCAAAATAGACTCCTAGTGCGAAGAAGGCAATGATAGACACTTTAGGAAATGAGCCTAATTTGATTCTGGAATCAAGGGATTTGGAGGAGGCAACTCCTAAGATTTTGGAAAAAGGAGACCACTCAAGCAAGGATGCCACATATTATTCCTCCCAAAATTGCAGCACTGAATTGCAGGGAAAAAAATTGCTTCATTAACTACTCAAGCACAAATTGATACTGGTGCACCAAATAACATAACTTTTGAAGTGGTGGATTTAACGGTGATAGAAAATGAGGTAGTAGTAAATGCTGATCCTATAATGGATGAAAGTATATAACACTTTATTTCAAAAGTGATGGCCCAATCAAAGGTGGAGAAAGTTGCAGAGAAGATTCTCACTTTGGCTCACTAAACAATATGCTCTTTCAAGACTCATCACAGTTAGAAAAAAATGGTGAGGATGTTAATCTCTCTCAAACTTTATTAAACTTAGAAGATGTTGATCCTGTGGTGGAGGTTTCTGTTACTCCAATTAAGCCTCTTGGGGGTTCTTTAATTCTTGATGCTGGAAAGGTGACGACTAACAAGAATACAAGAATAGTCTCTTTCAACGTGATTAATCTAAATCACAAGGATAGTGAGATTTTTTTCCAGTTCAGATGATGGTCTTGAGTATGGTATTGAAGATTCTTTGGTAGAGGTATCCATTGATTATGTCCATGTGTTTTAAATAAGTAAGACCACTATTCTTTGTACAATCCAATGCTTGTTAACAACCAGATGGTGGAGATAGTTCATTAGCGTGTCCACAGTCAAGAGAATTTCATCCCAAAAATGTCTAGAGAAGAGATTTATCAAACATTGAAATCAAATGACACTTTCTCTAAGGATGACTATGTAAAGAGCCTATTGTTCATAAAAACACAAGAGGATTTTCTCTAATGGAGAGGACGATGTTTTAGCACCTATTTTAGATTATGAATCTTTTATTGTTAAGTCCAAGAAATTAGTGAGAAATCTCAATAATGCTAAGAAAGAAAAGAAACAAAAAAAGGAAGAGTTGGTTAAAAAGAAAATTTCATAGACGTTAGAAGATCACGCGTGCAATTTATGCAATATTTAGAAGATTATGAACTATTGGAACCGTGTAAAATTGGTTATAAGAAGTCCACCACTTCGAGACATCAACAAATTCAGTATTTAAGAAGAAGATTTCTTCTGACAATATCAAATATGCTTGCCTCTCGATCTTGCCACTTGGAGATAGACTTCAACGTCTTTTTTACACCAGCTTTTACTCGGAAGGAAAGCCAAATTTTCTTTGCCATGGGACCCACCACGTGGAAGTAATTTCCATTGGAAGCTAATGGAGCATTTCAAGCAATAATTATTTTGAAAAACAATTCTTTTGAATTGTCGTGGACTCATCATGTGGAGGTAAATTTGGGCATCAAGAATATGGGGATGAATTTCAAATGGGACTCATCACTTTTTAGGATGATAAATTTGTATTTAAAGTAAACTTTTAACATTTTTTTATTAAGGGACAAGGTTTATGTCATCTCCTATTCGCTTTATAATTTTGTTATTTATAAAATTTGTCCTAAATGTGTTTAACTTAAAAAAAATATTAATTAGTTTGAATTGTTTGTTGTTTTCATGTTAATTTGATAAATTAAATGTTTATTGTTTGATTTGGAAAGTTAATTCAATGAATTGAGTGTTAATTGAATAAAATTGAAAGTTTATTTGATTAATTTAATATTAACTAGTTGAATTTGGATGTTAATTTAGTGAATTAAATACTTATTAGAAAAAAATTGAATGTTAATTAGATAAAATTGAAAGTTAATTTGGTGCTAATTTGATAAATTAAATTTTAATTAGATAAAATTGCATGTTACTTTGATGTTGATTTAACGAACTGAATATTTATTAAATAATTTTGGATGTTAATTTGATTAATTGAGTGTTAATTGACTAAATTTGAATATATATTAGATGAATTGAATGTCAATTTAGTGTTAATTAGATTAATTTAATGTTAATTTAATGAGTTAAATGTTCATTATATACAATTGAATTTTAATTTGATATTAAATTAATGGAATATTAATTAGATGGAATTGTATGTTACTTTGGTATTAATTTGATAAATTGAATATTTATTGTTCGATTTGAAAAGTTAATTCAATGAATTGAGTGTTAATTGAATGAAATAGAAAGTTTGTTTTATTAATTAATGTTAACTAGTTGAATTGGAATGTTAATTTAATGAATTAAATATTTATTAGAAAAAAAATGTTAATTAGATGATATTGAATGTTAATTTGATGATTGAATATTAATTTAATGAATTAAATGTTAATTGATGAATTAAATTCAAGTTGAGTGAAATTACATGTTACTTTGGTGTTGATTTGATAAATTGAATATTTTTTAAATAGTTTTGGATGTTAATTTGATTAATTGAGTGTTAATTGTACGAATTTGAATATGAAATAGATGAATTCCATGTTAATTTGGCGTTAATTTGATTAATTGAACGTTAACTTGTTGAATTTGATTGTTAATTTATTGAATTAAATGCTTATTAGATAAAATTGAATGTTAATTTGATGAATTGAAGATTAAAGAAATAAATCGTATGTTACTTTGGTCTTAATTTGATAAATTGAATCTTTATTGTTTAATTTAGAAAGTTAATTCAATGAATTGAGTATCAATTGAATGAAATTAAAGGTTAATTTGATTAATTTAATGTAACTAGTTGAATTATGAATTATAATTCAAGTAAATTAAAATTATATTTTGCTACTATTAAAATTTGACCTCATTATAATTTGAGTGGAAAAAATAATCTCATTTAAATTTTATGCCAAATTTTGATACATTAAAAAAAATGTAATAAGGTTGGGTTTTTAGTTTTGGATTTTTGAATTCCATTTCGGGTCGATTTTCGTTAATAAGATTGGGTTCTTTGTGTTTTTGAAATTTCGAAACTTGATAGCAACAGGATCGCTACCAAGATCAGTCTTGATTAAATCGTAGTCGTTCTCCCAGCCAAGATCACATGATTTGATCCCAAGATCGGTGTCTTTGATCTCTAGTATTTATCGCTTAGGATCGGTTTTGATTAGATCCGTAGTCTTGATCGGTAAAGAAGGGTGGATCAGTCCTGATTAGAACGACACTCTTGATTTATAAAGAATGGTGGATCGGTCCTGATTAGATCAGTACTCTTGATCGCTAAAAAGGGTGAATCGATCCTGAAAAGTGGTAACCTTAAAAAAAAAAGTGATAATTATACCAAAAAAATGGTAACCCTACCTATAAAAATTTGGTAATCTTACCCAAAAAAATTGTAACCTTCCCAAAAAATGTGGGAACCTTGCTTCCCCTCACTTAGCCAAACAAGTGGTAACCTTAACTATAAAAGTGGTAATATCACCCAAACTAATTGTAATCTTACCCAAAAGAAATAATATTCTTACAAAAAAAAAAGTGTATTCTTACCCAATCAGTAATAATTTTACCTCAAAAAGTGTTATATTATACCCACAGAGGATAATTTATCTCAAAAAGTGTTAATTATACCCAAATAGTTGTAGTTTTTACCCAATCAATTGTAACATTAGGGCAAACATTGGTAACCTGGTGGTAATTTTATTAAAAACATGATAACTTGCTTTCAAAAAGTGGTATTATTACCCAAGAGTTGTAATCTATTATCAATAGCTTATCCAAATAATTGTTAACCTTAGCTATGAAGAGTGGTAATCTTATTCAAAAAAGTAGTATTTTTACAAAATAAAAGTGATAATGTTACACCCAAAAAATTGTAGTATTCTAAGCTAAAAAAGTTGTATTCTAACACAAAAAAATGGTAATTTTTTTTAAAAAAAATGGTACTCTTACTTCAACAGTGATAATCTTTCCCTCAAAAAGTGATACTCTTCTATAAAAATTGGTAATCTTTTCCAAAAAAAGTGATAATCTTGTCTCAAAAAATTGGCAATCTTACCAAAAAAATAGTATTCTTACCAAATAAAAAGTGATAATGTTACACCCAAAAAAAAATATTCTTACACCAAAAAAAATTGTATTCTAACAAAAAAAAAAATTGTAAAGTTAACCAAAAAAAATGGTACTTTTACCTCAAGGTAAAAGTAATGTTGCCCTCAACAACAAGTGGTAATCTTCCCTAAAAAGAGGTTATCATACCAAAAAAAGAGTAATAATCTTGCCTTAGAAAATGATAATATTACCAAAAAAGTAGTATTCTTACCAAATAAAAGTGATAATATTACACTCAAAAAATTGTATTCTTACGCCTGTATTCTAACCCAAAAAAGTGGTAATATTATTAACCCAAAAAATGGTACTCTTACTTTAAAAAGTGGTAATCTTCCTTAACAAATGGTAATCTTACCCCAAAAAGTAGTACTCTTACAAAAAAAAAAAAATGATAATCTATCTTAAAAAAAAGTGTTAATCTTATCAAAAAAGTGGTAACCTTGCATACAATTAGTATTCTTACTAACCAAACCCCAATTACCCAGAAATCCCAATTACCCAAAACACGACTAAATCCTTACTCTTCTTTGGTTCATAGTATCCACATGATAATCTTATTCTAAAATGTTTTAAATGTATTTTTTTATTAAATATAATATTACTATAATCTCAACCTACTAATTAATTTATAATCTCTTGAATGGTTCATTGGGATAAAAAAAAACTCTGCAACTCCATCTTCTTCTTTCTCCTTCTTTTTTGTCCTTGTCTAAATTTTTTTTAATGAATTTGTCAAGACTCAAATCTATTGAGTGGGTAACCGATAAAATGTAAAATAGTATTTTAAATTTCATCAACAGTTGTAACTCTTTGATTATGGATCAATCGTAGATGTTCATTTTTCGGTATCATATCAATAAGGTAAAAGTCGATACTATAGAAAGACTCTATAAATTGATTGAGAATCATACTTTGTTGTCAGATGTTGTTGTTAATTAGATCTACTTATCTGATATTAAAAAATTGTGTCACATTATTTGAGATAAAAATTTAATAAAAAATTTAATAAACATAATATTACCCATATATGAACTATACATGACAAGACTAGAAGACAATGATTGATGGAGCAAGGAATACATTTGTGAATGATTTATTATTTTTATGAATATTTTTAGCATTATTATAAATATTTTTAATATTATTATAATAATTATTTTTACTATTTTTTTGAAGTATCACAACAATGACAATACCACATGTGTGCAGGACAAATAAATTGATTGCCAGACTTAACCAACTCACGTTTATCAAGGTAGAATCTGGGTTCATCGAACCAACATTTTTAAATGAGCAAAAGTCACTAGACATCAATAAACAAAAAACATAAAAAAAAGAAGCTAAATTTCTATTTTAAAAAAAAAAAAGCTAAATTGGATTTGATCACCAGCTACCACAGAACTAGAGAGCATAGTGATGGATTGGTTTTGAAAAATGCTTAACCTTCCCACGACATTTCTTTTCTCTGGTGGTGGAAGTGGTGTTCTACAAGGAACTACTTGTGAGGCCATCTTGTGCACACTAACCGCGGCGAGGGACCAAATGATAGACAAAATTGGGAGAGAAAACATAGGGAAGCCTGTTGTTTATGGATCTGATCAAACCCATGTTCACTCCAAAAAGCTGCTAAAATTGTAGGCGTTAACTCCTCCAATTTTCGATCTCTCTTGACCACAAAGTCTGCTGCATTTGGGTTATCTCCCGATTCACTAAGGTCAGCAATTCAATCAGATATCAAATCTGGGTTAATTCCATTTTTTTCCTGTGCCACTATAGGGGCTACTTCATCCAATGCGGTTGATCCATTGGGGCCATTATGTGATGTAGCAAAAGATTATAATATATGGGTTCATATTGATGCTGCATATGCAGGAAGTGCATTTATTTGCCCAGAGTTTCGCCATTTTCTTCGTGGTATTGAGGGTGCTCACTCATATAGCCTCAATGCACATAAATGGTTCTTCACCACTTTGGATTGTTGTCGTCTTTGGATAAAGGAACCAAGTGCCCTAATCAAAGCTCTCTCAAATGATCCGGAGTATTTGAAGAACAAGGCTTCTGATTCAAAACAAGTGGTGGACTACAAAGACTAGCAAATAGCATTGAGCAGAAGATTCCGAGCAATGAAGCTATGGCTTGTGCTCAGAAGCTAGGAGCATCAAACCTCAGAAACTTCATAAGGGGTCATGTAAAAATGGCTAAACATTTTGAACGGCTCATAGCTGTGGACAAGAGTTTCGAGGTCATGGTTCCTAGAAATTTTGCAATTGTTTGTTTTCTGGTTTTGCCATTAATGCTGGGAAATCCAAAGCAGAAGCTTTTAGGTGGAGAAGAAGCAAATGAATTCAACAGAAAATTTGGAATCCATTAACGCAACAGGAAGAGTGAACATGACACATGCTGTGGTTGGGGGAATGTATGTGATAAGGCTTGCTAATTTGAGCAACACTTACAGACTATTGCCATGTGAACAAGGCTTGGAAGGAGATACAAGAGCATGCACATACCATGCAAAGTTAGTTTTGGTGACTACTTTAATCTTTCTGGCTGGTCCGTAAATAAATGAATCCAAGATGACCACTAGATTTCCATTCTATAGCATTTTTTATATTCCCAATTCCTACCAAAGGCAGGCATTAATGTCTCTATGTGTTCCTCTCTTTGGATGTCTTCTTTAATATTTATATTATTAATAAGTCGGACTGTGAATTCCTACCACAGACATGCATCGATGTTTTTTTTGTGTCTCTATTTAAAATCTTCTCTTGAACTTGTAATGATGTTGTATTGTATTTACAATAGTGATTTACTGTTGTATATCAAAAGTATAACACTATAATAAAGTTGTGTTAAAATATTTTACTCAAAATCAATTGATAATGCATAAAAAGACTCGTAAGGATCATAAAATAGTTTGAGAGATATTATTTTATCGACGTAAAACAAGTTTTGATACCCTTACCGATTATCTTAGTATTGTTGGTGCTCTCTTGTATTTAACATTTACTTTTCTGAATATTGCCTTCGCTGTGAACAGTGTCTCTCTGTACATGCAAAATCCTACTAATAATCATGTCCAGGCTGTAAAAAAGATTTTACATATGATACCTTAAAGGCACTCTTGGCTATGATTTTCAATTTTTTCATGGATCAATTAATTGATTGAAAGTGTACTCAAATACTGATTGGACAGGTTGTCCAGATAGCCGCCGTTCAACTGCAGGATATTGTGTTTATTTTGGCCAAAATCTCTTGTTTTGGTTTTCCAGGAAACAATCCACTGTTTCTAGATCAAGTAAGAATTAGAATATTGGACTCTGGCTTTTGGGGTAGCTAAATGGATTTGCATGTCTTTTTGTCTAACCCTGTTGAAGCCTATTGTGACAACATTAGCACAACATATCTCACAACCAATTCAGTCTTTTATGCTAGAACTAAGTATATTGAGATTGATGTCTATTTTGTTCGTGAGAAAGTTGCTTCCGGTGATTTGTCAAATACATACTATAGATAGGCAACTTGCTAATATTTTCACCAAGGGCTTGTCTTCTCCGCGTTTTCAGTTCATTCGATCCAATCTAAACATTTGAGACAATCCTGTTTAGATTGCGGGAGGATGTTAGAATGTAAATTATTTGCACTAACATTATTGGGATATAAGTGAGATATAATTTGAGAAATTAATACATTGTGATAATTGAATTTATAGTTGAGTGCATTCACGGTTAGTATCCATTGATAATCTAATGATTACAATGATTATGTCCACAAATTATATATTCAAATTATGTCTCAATAACATTGTTCAATTATTTATTGAGTAATGTTATTGATGCCTAATTTATTGACCTAATTTACTATTGTTCGTGGATGGACTCTAGGCTCTATCAAACATTAAAATTTGGTATTAATCTGATGGTTTCACTGTAATTACATCATTAAATTAACAAATTAAATCAAAATTTTAAGTCAAAATAGTATTACTCTTATTTATTATATTTTGATACATCCATACAAAGATAGTATTGTAATTATAATCTCCTGGACAATCCTATCTATATCTATATCTATTTATACTACTATAAAATGTCAACAAAAGTGAAATTTTTTTGATTGACTATAATAACCTCAATAAAACAAGTAATATCCATACTATCCTTTTTTAATTACAATTATTGTAACTAATAAAAGTTTGAGACCCTACTACTACCCTATTAATTTTAGACCTTACAATTACCTACCCTAATTTACTTTTAGACTTTATAGATTCTAAGAGTAAATGACTAATCTTTTGTTACCATTTCGAATTTGATGGTTCCTTTCAAAAATATAATTGTTCACCTATAAAATCGGACACTTGTGTTCCCCCAATCTCTACTCATGATTCTCGTGTGACAGCGCCTAATTCATGTTTGTGTAAAAGAATGATGGTAGCTTTTCGTGGTTTCAACCCTTAGTATCATCTCTTCATTTGTTGGCTACAACCTAGAGCTACCATAACAAAGAATAGGTGTTGAAGAGGCTTCGATAAATACCAGCCGGGCGTTTTCGTATTGCAAAATGGCATCTTCCACGAAACCCCACTCTTTGACCCTAATGCCCTTTTTGATCTTTTGTAGCCAAATTGAAGTAGCTTTTCAGCGTACTTGCAGTCAGTTCATTGCCATTAGCCACACCATCGATTGCTCAATTGAAAGGATTTTTTGGGGGATAAACAAATAAAAAGAATACGAAGAAAATTCAGTGAAAAGATACCAATCTGGATTCAATTTAGAGAGACAGATGTTTACCATTTTTCAATAATTCCTATAAATGGTTGAGAAAATTTCATTTTATGATTTGGTTTGCACCTCAAGTATTAGAAGAGGTTGAGAAAAAAATGATTATTAACTAAATGCCAGGCTCATTTCGTCAATTTAGGTAAGTATGTGCACACAGAAATTTGTTCTCTTCTTTTTCAATGGTATTTAAAGAATATCAGGGACCCACTTGATGTTTTAGTTTCAAAATTTTTTTTCTCTAACACATACGAAATAATAGATTGGCAAGAAAAATTTATAAGATTGAAGTAGGGATAGGCCATTCTTTCTGTAAGGGAAATTCTCTCTCCACGGAGGATTCCGGCTGGCCTGGGGGGTTTCCTACCCCAGTACCCTTTACCTCTCGTCCCACATCTGGGGAGAATCGTCTCCCCCCTGTCGTATAAGTGAACACTTTATATGGAGCAGGTACCCACTAACCATCTGATCGGGAGAGTTGGGGGATTCCGGACTTAGGGGAAAATTCTCCCTCCACGAAGGATTCCGGTTGGAGTTGGGGGGTTCCAGACTCCAGTAGCCTTTACCTCTCCTCCCACATTGGGAGAGAGTCAAGTGTAAGTGTTTACTTTTATGGCAGGGGGAGACGACTCTCTCCCGACGTGGGACGAGAGGTAAAGGTTACTGGGGTCCGGAACCCCCCAGGTCAGCTAAAATCCTTTGTGGAGTCCTTCGTGGAGGAAGAATTTCCCTTACACTTTCTTTATACCTAATCCTGATTCCAAATTAACTATCCTTTTAGTGTTTCGATATTGGTTGGTGTTTGTTGTCAGAATATGTGTTTTTGATGCGGTAAAAATGAAGGTGTTTTAGAAGTTTTTGTTGCCTAGCAGAGATCCGAATTCTAAATTGGTACCTGTTGATGGTGGACTAAAACTATAAAATTTGTTGTATGCTTGCACACTTTTTCCCCCCACCTTATTCCAGTATTTTTTGGCATATTAAACATTAATGTAGATAATTTGAATGGAATCATCAATCATGTGCTCAGTGTTAATACCCAAAAAAAATGTAATTTGTGGTAGTGATTTGATAGTTTTAGGAATTCTTAATTTGAGTGTATATTTGCCACATTTTTTTTCTTGGAAAGTCAAAAACTGTTAAGAGAACAATTAATCAAAATAAATATTCCAATACAAAAGGTTTTATGAGAATTAAGATGAACTAATGTCCTAGGTCACTTATAAAGCATACCCAATCATTACTTCTGATCCAAAAATTTACAAACTGATTCTTCAAATGCTTCCAAAAACCAAAGTTCAACAAATAATTACTTTGTTTCCTTATATCTTTGGTCCTTAGAATTAAAAACTGTAAATTATATCAATCTATATCATAAGCTGTCAAGGAATATTGGTCGATGTTTCCTCTATGAATATATCACTTTATATTTTGATTTTATCATTCGAAGTCAAGCCATATATTTCAATTCATATATTGCATGAGATATTGACAAAAGGTTGCATGTCATCCACGCCACTAATTGTGAGAAATGCAGTATAAAGATATACCTCTAAAGAGGAAGGAGATGAATTGAGAAACAGTTCATTTTTGTCCTTTATGTTCAATTCGAATTTTAGTTCTTTGCTCACGTGAGGATCAACTACTATTATAAAAAAGCCGATGTTGCTTTCGTTTCTTTTTTGGTCTCTATGTAACTTTCGTTGGAAACACCTATTCTTGTACAAGCACAAAAAAATCATGAAAAGTGGATTACTATTCTAGACAAAATCTTTTGCTTTCATAACATGGGCGCACACCCATATTGCTTGGCTCATCATCGAAGGAGGATTACTCATCACGTGGGACCTACATGAATTAAATTGCACACCCATGCTATTACTTTTTTTATTTTTATCAGGGGACTTAAAATTTAAAATATTCTAAAAACCACTGGCAACCTACCACTCTCTTCATTGGTCCTTTTTTTGTATTGATTTATTTATGAGAATATGGTTATTTTTAAATAAAATTATAATTATTTTTAAATTCAATTATCAAAATACAGTATTTTGTTTAAAACCAAAGTCAATAATCCTATTTTTGTCAAAAAAAAAATTAACAATTCCACTTATAAGTAAAAAATGCTTTTAACATCTAAAAAAGTGTGGTAAAACACCACGCTTTATAGGAGCAACACAAAACACTCTCTCTCTCACTCACACACAAGCACACAGGTACAACTGAGTAAACTCTCTCACTCATATTTAGGCAAACTCTCTCTCTTCATATAACTCTTTTTTGGGATTGTTTGGATGTTATTAGACCATAAATTAAACAGATGAAAGATATGAAAACAGACCCATTTGAGTATTTTGCTAGAGTTTGTCAAGGCTAAGAGTTTTACAGCTATTAGAGGAGCTGATGAATAGTCCCGACGATGTGTTTGTATATAACTCCGTACATGCATATGTATGCCCGAGAATTATGGGGAAATACCCTGAGAATTATATGCCTCCACAGAGTGGTTGAGAGGACATCGAAGAGGTTTTGAGACAAATTTTGGAGAGAGAGAGAAGGAGAGAGACTTTTTTTTTTTTTTGTTCTAACGGTA